GAACGTGGCCATTTCGGGAAGAACACGCGACGCGAAATAATAGGGTCCAAGATGTCGGGTACAACTGTTGCTAGTGACGCTAACGCGTCGGGACTAACGGCTGTCGTTCTCGATGAGTCGACCGTTAACAGACTGAGAAAGGCAACGGACAAATGGAAGGGGATATCCCGCGGCTGCGGGATGTGAATGGATTGGGTTTGTTCGTTTTACACTGCGCTCTTGCTTCGTATCTTTCTTCCTTCTCTCACCGTAGCGCAAATATATATATATATATATATATGAAAATTATAATACTATATAAACAAGCAAGATATCGATACACTTATCATATACATATAGTAAGTAGTCAAATTTCTAGAAGCTTTTCTAGTGCTAAACTGTATTATATACTATCAGAACTTTTTTGTCCTCCATTACTTATTTGGAAATAATAACGAATAATATAATTTGTTTCTTCGCGCGATTAGTTTTAACTCGAGTCGATATTGCGTGAGTAACAGTTTCACACGCGCTCCACGCGTGTTTACATATTTCAGTGATTTAAATGTATAATACGCAGCAAATGAATAATAAGATCATTGGCTTTAAGCATTTTTCATATTATTTTGAGCAATAAAAAAGTACATTTTTTCTTCCCGTACCCTATCTTGTATGATAACACTTAAAGTAGTGTATGTGTTTCAGGATGTGTGAATATAGATGTATACGCGAGAAATAAATTTCTCTTTTTCGTTTCTTTTTTCGCATTATCTCCGTTTCACGCAGTGAATTTGGCAAACCGTTTTTAAGATCTTTGTTTTTGTTCTATATTAGACACGATTGATAGATATTACAATTTATATAATAATCTGTCGATTATATATTATACAAATATGACCCCACATAAAAATGCTCTTTGTTCTAAAGCCAAGTTGAATAAAGAAGAGAGGTGCAGATTCAACGATTTTTAATAGAAAAAAAGTAAACGCTCCTGTGCGCTGCCGGACAACAGTCTCCAACCGCGTTTGATGTTCAAATATTGAATGATGGCACGTACACAAATTAAGACTCCTGAAACAAATAATATCATATTTCAGTACTTTTAATAACAGTTATTACATTAAAATATCTTTTGATTAAATTTCTTAAACATCATACAAACCAAATGCCATTATCAACCACCAAAGCCATGAGTTCTCACGCGAAGCAAGATCGGTAGAGTGTTTGACAATGAGTGTCCACTTTGTCAGAGACAAGCCAAAACCAGCCAGCGCACCATAACGAGAGGCAATAGTGTGACAGAAACACATCAGCAACAAGAACCCAATCCAATTGAATAGGAATGCAACTATAAAAAGCAGAAGAATTAATGTAAATAAATATCACATTTTAAAAAACATTAAAATCGAAAAAAAAAAAAAAATATCCCACCAAGAAATGCTGTGAAGAACATAAAGTCTGTACCAAGTAATCCACTTTCTGGATCTCCCTCTGCAGCTTCGGTATCTATAGCCAATATTGTCAGAGGTTGTTGTGGTGATCTAATATTTCCTGGCTATAATAGAAATATTAATAATTCAAAAATATAAATAGAATAATTTAGGATTCTAAACCTAAGTATTTAAAATATAAATATATAAAAAATATATATATATATATAAATACATAACAATACACATACATGTATAAATACAATACATTATATATAAATATATAGAATTCTTTCAAGTACAGCTATGTACCATATGTACTTGAGGTTGTGGCTCGCCTTGTAGAGTTTTTTCACGCTGCACTTCTTCATAACTGGGCAATTTGGTAGCTACTTCGTAAGGAGGTGGTGCAGAAAAGTCTGGTTTTGGAGGTGGTATCTCTTCTCCATCGACCTGGATAATATTATCAAGTTAGTAATCACTTAATCTAGAAAGATTTTTACTATACGTTATATTATATTACCATCCGATTTGCTGTTGTCAGATTATTTGCCTGTGTACCAGCAGCAGAAGTTCCGGAATGACTGAGTATATCAACTTGCATGAATGGCATAGCTACAGTAACTGTAGGAATTTCGTTCTGATGTGACGTTTCGCCGCTGGTATCCGCACTTGTTTGAGGCGGCTATAAAACAGTGCATAGGATAGATTTCGATAAATACATATAGTTTACAGAGTGTCGCTTCCGATTATTCTCAGAAGGTATAATCGATAAAAATATTCGTAATATCAACATATATATATATGTCTCGTGGCAGATAATAGATAACGATGCCGGGATACAGAATCCAATAAAAATGATCATAAATAACATGACATTATGGGTAAGCATTTTAACAATTTGAACAAAGCTAATTATAATCGAGCAAGAAAATATTGACAATCGCGCGAGGCGAGTTTCTGTCGTGCGTGACGCATAAATTGACGCGATGTTTCCGCATAGAAATATTTCGCACGAGATGCTCTTCTCGGCACGAGAAAGGATAAAATGTCCTAGAAAGGTTTAGTGAATGGAACCATGTACGGTTCGTCAGTAGACATACCGTATTGTGACGAGCGTTACTGTCCATTTCCGGCCAGATTTCCGCGTGGAATTGACAAACGGTATCGGAAATTATCTCCACGAGGGACGGCACGCGCTTGTGAAACGGGAGAAACGTCACTTTCCAAATTAATAAAAAGCGTTCACAACTCCGATGGCTGACAGCTGGTAAGTCGTAGCCGACGTGAAGTTTCACGATCGCTCTAAAGTCACGTCCATCATCCTCGATATTTTATAGGTTCCGGTCACACAACGCGTTCATGAATTCAAGAAAGAGAATTTTTTCATTCTTTTTTACAGATGTTTATTACTTTCGTAGTACACTGCCATATTCCTTTTGCTATTTTTTCAAAAATTTCTATTTTAGTTTTCATATAAACCTTATCGACGACTGTCGATGGTATACTTTATACTTTTATACTGTCAATAAAGTATCACAGAAAATGCAGCTGAGAAGAAAATATGAATTTCTTAATTAATATTTATGATTCCAAAGAAATTGTTAATCTAGTTTAATTGTACATTCCAGCAATACTGTCTTCGACGTCACAAACATTTATCAACAATTACGACTGTGACTTGAATATAGAAGATAATCCGCGAAAATTCGGATTACGAAGACTCGGAATATCGAGGGCTCTGATTGGACGCGGGCAATTGGGCATTGAGAACCAAGCTTTAGGACGGGATCCCAACTACCGGAAGACAACGCGACGCACCGGATATGTACCGTTAACAATTACAATGACTTTCTTATCGTCCTTTCGAACAATGTCGTATCACATCCTTCGCGCATCGCGAATAATTCGTGGATTCAACGTTTACGTATTGCACGCAAAAATATCATCAACATCGTCAATCCGTGAAACAGCCGCTCACTTGACTAGCCATCCGACGAGGATGGTATAGTGGGGCGGGGCGCGGGGGAAGGAGCGGCTTGGTTCACGTCGTCGCGCACAAACGACGCTCCGCTCGTCAGTCAGTTGCTCCAGTCGCTCGCTGATCGTTACAGGAGCAGGTAGACAGGTCTCTCTTCGTCCACGCGATGTCGGAAGTATTCAAATTGGGTGACTTAGTTTGGTGTGTATTAAGAGTGCGCATATTGCGATTGTGTATTTTAGTGCCAGGCGTACTAATCCTCTTCGTTTCTCTTTCTGGCTTTCAGGGCGAAAATGAAGGGATTCTCGCCGTGGCCCGGCCGGGTAAGTGCTGATTCCCCCTCCCCTCCTTTCCCCTAGTCCGTGACTATCGTAACGCGGGCTCTCTCGCTGCGCTCCTCCCGTTAACATCGTCTTCTGCGCGCGCGCGCGCTCGTATTTGGCGGGTTTTGCCGCGTTCGCTTGTATCAAGTTATTCCGCCACGATGTCGTCTATCTCGGACTTGGCTGTCGACGCCACTAGCTTTGACCCGCATCGCATCGCGCGTCCCTTATCTCCCGCCACACCCGACCTTCGAATTCAAATTGGTGCGCAGGCCGCGAAAATATAACCTAAATCCCGTCGAATACACGCCGAATTAATGCGTTTCTCCCTTTACTATCTTTCCCTCTCCTTCCCTCCTTCGTTTGGCGAAAGCGATCGTCGTAGATTTCGTAACTTCTCATCGTCGCGATGAATATCGAATAGCGATATTGAGATTCGCTATCGTCGAGATTTCAGAATTTGTCCCGCGTAATCTAGCTATCTTTCTTCGATTGATAGTAACGTGCGCATGACGTCGAATACGAGTGTTGTTCGAGCGGGTCCGATTACGTGTGATCAGCTTGTCGCAGCCACATTTTTTACGTTTACAATAAATGCATATTTTTCTGTAGAAGGAAAGAGAAAAAATAGAGTAAGTATTAAAAGGCGTAACTCCAGAGCCCCTCAAATTTTACACGGTAATCGCGTATCGTTTCACGATAGGGACGTACGAAGATCAGGAGTGGTTTATAAAATTATTATTTAGATATAACTTTATCTTCAGAAAATCATGTTAATACGTATAAAGATAAAAATTCAATTTTTTTTACATAGCATTTGTAAATAAATGATTTAGAGATGGGTAATTATTATTCGACAAGAGTATTATTTGATGAATTATCTTTAATAATATATTCACACCTCTGGCAATATTTCTATTGATATTTTTCTATTAATCTTATGTCGTGAAAACATATGTATAGATATTGAAAGTTTACAGTTGTGAACTTTCAGTTTGTAAATGACACAACTACATCATACCAAAGTATTCCGTTAAAATTAATTTTCAAATAATTGTATATATCTATCTTTTATTTTATATATAAAGATATATATATATATAACATTGTGATTTAAATAGATTGTAAATAAAAATGAAATACAAAACATATATAAAAAGAAATGTAATTAATACATCAGGTTATATATTAATTTTATAATGGCATGTGAAGGTGTCAGTTCCTTCAAAGGACTTAAAGAAGCCTGCAAACACTAAAAAGGGACCAGTACAGTGTATTTTCTTCTTTGGAACAAACAATTAGTAAGTTTTATTTACAAATTGTTTATATTTTATATATTCATAAAATGTTATTATATTTTATATTCCTTAATGTCTTTTTTGTAGTGCGTGGATAGAAGAATCCCACATTAAACCGTACCAAGAGTATAAAGATACTTTAGTGAAATCTAGCAAGTCTGGTGCATTCAAAGATGCAGTGGAAGCCATAGAAGAATTTATTGCCAAAGGAGAAGTGAGTTCAAAATTTATGTATTTGTGTTTGATAATTTTATTTATAACTATATATTATAATTTGATATAATATGATCCAGTTTGTAACAAATATAACTATACATTATTAATTAAATTAAATATTAGTAATGGAACATTTTATGTATTAGAATTAATGTAACAACAAAAATTAGAAATAATACATCTAATTAATCTTGCATAATAAAAATGATAATATCTATTGATGTGCATTAGGTATTCGAAGATGGCTTAGATCCGGATTCCCTCTTTGATAGACTTAAAGAAGAGACTGTAGCTGAGAAAAAACCTGTCGTTAAAACGCCAAAACCTCGCAAGGTTGGTAGCAAACATGTCTCGTATTTTTCCACAATTGTTAAAGATGTTAATTATATTTTGTATTATATATTCGTATTAACTACTACTACAGGAAGTAACAAAAATTCCTAAGCGGTCAAGGGAGAGTGGTTCAGATGATCGTCGATCTGCTAAAAAGCAGCGTAGGGAATCAAGCACCAGCAATAGCAATAGAGTCGGCAGTGTCAGTCCTACACTGAATCATTCTACTCCGGTTAGAAAAACGGGCTCGCTTCTAAACAGACCGGCAAATATTATCAGACCTGTAAGTAATTTATTTTTTTTCATTGTTAATAGAAAAAATTTATACATTGTATCGTGAGTATTAACACAAGTAAACTTTAGAACATACGATTTAATAATGTTATTAAACCTGACATATATCTGCTCTCGATACTATGCAAGTGGAACATTTTATAGAGTTGAGATTAGATAATTATAAAAGATGCGATATTTTGTTTTTAAATATTTGGAGCTCTACTTACATTTCGCATTTAACACTAAATATAATTATTTGAATTAGAATTTTTTTTTATTCGCCATCTATTATCTATGAACATATTATGTAGGTTGTTATCATAAGCTGAGAATCTTACGGCATACGGCGCGTAATGTTCCGTATATATACGAACGCAGTGTCTCAGTGCCGTACTTAGCTACACGGTGATCCCGTTACTATACCTGTTCCATATACATAATGTTATTTTAGTTTTAATAAAATATATTTTTTAATGATGATATAGTTTATAAACTAAAAGAAATTTTTAATTTATTTTAATTTTGATAAAAACAATAAGATATTTAATTATATCCTCAGACTTTAGACATACCATACTTAATGACTTTACAAATTTAGGGATCTTTATCTCTAGCCTTTTAATATAATTTTTATAATATTTATAATTTTAAACATATTAATTTTGCAATATTATATATATTGCAATGTTATATATATTAAATGGCATTATTTATATGTGTATATATTTATGTATGTATACATACATATAAAAAATGTGTGTAAAATTTTATGATTATACATTTATTAAAAGTTATGCTACTCATATAAACGTATATATTATAAGACATGAAAAAAAATCTGCTTAGGATTTCAAAGATATTATATCCGATTTAGTACATTCTAAAAATTTAGTTTATAAAAAATTGTTTTATCTAATGATTCATATCTCGATAAATTCATTATTCTTATTAATCACTCATCACTTATATTTTCTTGTTAAAAGTTTTTGAGTTTTCTAATGATTTTCTAATTTTTAGTATAAATATTTTGGTAATCAAGAATTTAATTAAGATTCTATTAAATCGGATTTTAATTACAATTAACTGCAGACTTTCTTTTATTATTATTATTTTTTTTTTTTTTTACTAAAATTTTATTTACCAGAAAATTGTTTAATTTTGTATTAATAATAAATAAAATAACAGTATTTTTAATTCGAATTATCTACTGCTCGGGTATTTACTGCTGAAACATTTATATGACGAATATAATTAAATAGAATATAAATAAAAAGAAAGAGAGAGAGAGAAAGTTACAATTATTTAAATATTAACATTTCAAGCAGCGAGAATTTATATCAATTGAATCGTATGTGCCTGCATGTGTGTATGTATGTGTGCATGAGTGTGTGCGTGCATGCGTGTGCGCGCCCGGGAAATAATTTATCAGAAATAATTTATAGGTACCGCTTCCGTAACATTCCTTTATCTTTTTCCGCAGGTCACGCCGCCCCTAGATCTCGAAACGATGTCAGAAACTCTCAAGGAGAAGAACATTCTCCCATCAAATCTGAAATTTGGTTTTCTCGGGCTTGGCATCATGGGTAGCGGTATCGTGAAAAATTTGATCAACAGTGGTCATAGCGTGATCGTGTGGAATCGGACGCAGGAAAAGGTATGTATCAAATTTTTTTTTCTTTTTTTCCCGCTATACAGCGTGCGTAGAAAATTTTTGCCGATGCGTTATAATTGAAATATTAGTATTATTATTATAACTATATTTATCTTGCATTAACAATTGCATTTTTATATATAAATGCATATAAAATTTCTTATATATTAATTCATTAATTCATTAAAATCACTTAAAACTTATGCTATTTAAAATGAAAAACATTGGATAGAGGATTGTTGAAGGAAATCAAAAGTCACAACCAACAATCATACAATAAACAATTTATTAACTTAAGATGTTGAGCACAGATATTGTTTCGATCGAAAGAAACAACTCGGAATTATTTTCGCCGACATTATCTCGATCGAAATAAATAACTCGGAATTATTTTCGCAAAAACGAACAGGTCACTCATTACGAGTGGTTTTAGGTTCTTTATCGCTCAGTCGAAATTTTGAAATGATTTAATCGTTCGACCTTTTATTTTTTAATATGAATATTGCTTGAATAGTGAACAGTATATGCCTTAATATAAATCGGTGCCATTCCATTGTTTATTCTGAAACGTGCAAGTTTACGGAATATAAAATAATAACTTATTCCATTGCACTTATTTATTGTTCTTTTTGATATATCGATGATATCTCTTGGAGTAGAAAATATAAGAATGCCGGTGGAAAGCTCGACAAAATAGTCCAATGTTAAATTTTGGAAGGTAATCCTCTTGTGATGAGTTACACCTAAAATATTTTGAAACGATATTCTTACGGAGATAACCATAAGAATTGCATGGTCTTTTTAACGATGGAAATCGGATTAAACTCTCGAAAATATGAAAACAGTGCTTCAGCTGTAGAAACAAATTTTAAAACAATTATATATTTTTATATTTAATAATCATATATTTGCATCTCAGATGCTTCTTCTTTGGTATGCAATTTTCAAATTTTGAGTTGTAACACAAGCAGTTGTATACAACATATAGATATATAACCTGATAACATCGATATATTTTTGACAAATTCAGTGATTGGCAAATATCATTTACAATTAATGAAAAATTTGCTATACGTTTTTATCCTGATTTTATGCATAATTTATTCTCTTTTTAATATTTTTAAATATCGTAATTATAAAACTTAATAAATATATATATATGCTCCAAATAATTATTATTTTTATAATAGTTCCGAGGGCAATTTGCTATCATCAATTTACAATCAATTGCACCAAAACGACATTCAAGTGGATAATTCTAACACACACACACACACAAGTTCTATATTCTATAATATATAGATAATTTAAATCGTAATATATTCCTTTAAAGTTTACAAATCACAGCGTTTAAGAAACATGTTGAATAAAGTATCAAAGTTGCATAGGATGTTCTACACAAGTAACCGATATAGTTTCAGGGCATTTTGCATATTAAGAAAGTAAAGTTTTTCTTTATCGCTCCAAAGATGTTCTTATAATATATAAATTTTTGCAAGAGAATTATTTTTTACGAGGATTTCCGCTAAAAACGGCATTTTTTACGAAGTCTTTCTCATTGGATATTACACACATGGAATAAATTTTATAATCTATTTTATAATTTCTATAATTATTTACATATACGCATAGATAGTGGCGGAATTCATTTTTAATTTATTAATAATAAATTTTTTTCTTTTTATGGGTTTTTAATGTCTCGAACTTTGAAGTACCGATTATCTACACCACTGTATTACGCCACTGTCAATATAATAATATATATCGGAACGCGAAAAGACGTTCCTGGAAAGTATCTTTGCGTGGTTCAGGTTATTTCGATGTTTTATACGTCTCATAATTAGAGTCAATAATGCGATTAGCGTTTTTTACGCTATAATTAATTTATATGTGTGCTACACGCGGGTCACTCTTCCGTTAAGGCTTTACAGTTTAAAACGATGTATAAAAAATATATATGCTAGAAGCATAAGTACAAGTTCTCCGATCTATAAAGGAACAGAGAAAGATTCTCTCACCTAAGATTCGATGTGCCATAATGCGAGTAGTTAGATTAAACTATTTTCTAAACGTAGTAGATTTCAGATTTCTCATTTTTTGTTCACTTTTAAGAATGTTTACCTAGTCTGGTTATATAATGCAGTAATATAGATCGGTTTAACTACATGTTGGGAAATACGCGGGTAAACACATCAATCGGATTTTATTTTCTCAAATATTTTTCCATATGTTTATATAATCACAAATAAAAAAGTGACATGAAAGGTTTATGGATACTGATCGTCCCATAGTCAAATATTTTAGTTAAAAGATTGTTCATATTAGAAGCGACGCGATCTTAAGTAGTAAAAATCTAAAAATAATCTTTTTTTAATAACGAAATTTAATCAAGTTGACAATTATTAATCGAACACTAATTTCAAACACTTTTGCAGTAAATTAATTTTCTGCACGATAATTCATTCATTTGTTAATAAAATAAATACTATCATTGAATTACTTGATAGAGAAAAACAGGTCTAAATATTAGCATATATATATATGATTGCCTCTGAATTAGAATTGTAACGAATTTTCTCTTTGGAATGTGTACACGCAGCAGATCGATAGATTTGACAAACATTATACATACAGAAGCCAATCATATATATTGAAATCAATATTTACGTATTAGCATCTGCGGTTCGGTTTTTATTAGCTGCTTTTGCTATCGAGATTTTATATCGAAAATTCTTTTTATTTATTTTATTCATTGTTAGAGGTAGCTTAATAACTCTAAACAATTCTACTTGAATTATCATCGCGACGATAGTTCGGAAAAAAATATGGAGAGATAATAATCTTAAATAGAAAGTGAACAGAGTTGTAAACAGAAAGAGACTCACGATCTTGTTAAAAATTTTGAGACACCCAGAACAACAGAAATATATACTAAAACAGTATTGTCAGAGAGAGGCTATATATAATTATGAATATATAAATATGAATTTCCATAATATGCAAATGATATATTATAAGATTCTTATTAAAATTGATTTCGCTATTTTTAGATATTATCTGGTATAATTGTACCGCTTCTGACGAATTTATATTGATAATAAGAATCATTGTGTAAATAATGACAGTGTGTATCGCGCGTCAACTATCTATCTATTCAAGTTTTTAATAAGATCTTGAATTAAGTTTATAATTGCAAGATATAAGCTATACTTGTAATTATTTCAATCAACTCCGAATAAATTGGGACGAAAATAATCTTAATTTAAACTAGCACACCCGCGGATGTACCGATGAGGTTTGTGAAACTAGGCACTAGATTGCACTTTATATAGTGCTACCATTCCGATTCGTCGATCTAGATGAAGTATAGAATGCGTCTGAAAAGTTGGAAATCAATAGACGGAGAACATTTTTTGATGAAAATATGGGGAAATAATATTTTCTTGGTAAAAAATTGCGTAAATATCCTTTAATTTTCAAAAATGATTAGCAAATTAATTATAAGTGTTCAATGCTTGCGGTAATTATGTTTCTATAAAAAATTGAATTAGTTATTTTAAGACAGATGTTATTAAGAAAATTCTTATCTTAATTATTAAAACTTTTTTAATTATCCGTATAAATAATTGTATCTTATATAAAAAAGACATGAAATCTCAGTCTCGACATTTTTTAAATAAAAATTTTTCTGGAATTGGTAAGTTATAGGTTCTATTATAAAGAAAACATTGCACACACATTTGCAATTATTTAAAATATATTAAAAACTAATTTATATATATATATATAATTAATCAAAATAAAAATGTTTTAATTAGTTATATTGAACATTTAACAGTAATACTTGGTATTACTGCTCTTTTGATTTATTCATACATGTTTTAGTCAGGAGCCAGAAGCTGTTAATAAATTTTTATATGTTTGCACTGTAAGAATCGTGAGAAATATATGTCAATAATTAGGTATTTGCATTAGAACTGCAAATATGTATTTTGATATTTACTTGTAAGTAGAACTTGGCAGTCGCAAAAATATTAACTTCGACAACGAAATATAAGAGCTTCTTGGTACTAATTTATATTATATATATGGAAAATCTTTTTTTTTTTACCGATCAATATTTAAAAATATTGCTAAATCACATAGATTCAATTTTGGCATAATGAATATTACAATATTTTTTATTAATCACATATAAACATTATTTATTAGAAACTTTTCTATTGATTTTTTGATAGAACCCATTATGTGAAATAATGAAGTGGATTATTTGGAAGATTAATGTCTGTTTATTTCATGACTAATTATTACCGAAACTTCCTTAATTGAGCTTTCACCCAACTTTTCACTAAGAAAATGTTCCAGCTTTATCAAGTTTGAATGTAGTGACTTATTGATTTCCAGTTCTTCGGATTTAGTCTAGCACGGGTTTTTTTCGACACAGAATATGCTTTCCCTTGCGTCATTACGACGCCGTAACTCCAAGACCGGCTATATGGCTTCCGCCATGGTTACGCTTTGTCTTGTACGCGGCCTCCCCCTCTATCTAAAGCAGAGGAAACACGATAAAACTTTATCTTTCGCGTAACGTCGTCGACGCGATCCAAAGAAAACAACGCTCTTCTGGCCTCGGTCATTTTTCTTTCCGATCCATCCACTGATATCGTTGTTATTGTGATTTAGTCATTTCTATGATTAGCAGCGTCATTTACGTAGATGATCGGTATGCAGGTGTCTTCTTTTATTGCGTAACTTTTTTCATATAAAAGTATGCGTTCTCTACGATTCGATCGAGATGATTGATGAATTTCTAAGCAAACTAAGTGATAAATCCATAAATATTTGACCTTGGGACTTCGTAATATAGCATTCAAAATAAATGTATGTGTATTTTGCTGTCTCTAATATATTTTTATACTTCATGATTAATATAAATTATAAAATAGTTTTTAATTAACTATTAACTATTAATCAATTAACAAAATTTGTAATTTTATATTTGAAAAATAATACTCAGTTTTTATTTTGTGTACGTGTATTCGTAATAATTATAAACCTCAATATTTTTTCAATAAATAGCATTATTTTTCTCATCTATATAGTTCCATAAATTTTTTAATTTAAAGTTAATGGAATTAAAGTTTAACGAGGATACCAAATGATTTCAGAAAAATCACATTTTTCAAAAAAAAGTCTTTCCGAGATTAATTTTTTTAAAGATAAATCGATTTTAAATAAAATTATTTTGCTATCTCTTGTATAAAGATAACATCTCTTTACTATCTCTTGTATAAAGGTAACATCTCTTGTATAAATGTAACATATCTAAACAAATGTTTTAACATATTTAAAAATTTTTGTTTTATTCTATTCTAAATTTATTTGAATTTTGAATTATCCTGTCCATAGATGATTGGTGATTTTTTGTTAAATCCTTTTTGCACGTTATGATTTAATGATCATAATTTATTAAAGAGTTTTAAATTGGATTTGACAGATTATGCACAATCCACTCTTATTCTGTATCTTTTAATTGTCACTCTTATTTTTGTAACTCGGACACTGAATAATATTACAATGATAATCTCGTAATTAGAATCCGCGTTAATTAGATTGTTTAGAGTTAGCAACGATAACTATCAGAATCGATATTCTGTGTTAATTGCTAATTAGCACTCTTATCTTTCTATTTAACACGTGCATGTTTAGGAAAAGTCGCTGAAATTGAGCATTCAATATTTTTCAAATTGTGCTATCAATATATTTTTCTGCATAGAAATCTCTTATCTCGCAAAATGGAATTTGGATAGGGATTAACTCTTTGCAAAGCAATGTTTTTTTCAGTTTACTTATCGAGAACAAAAAGGAAAAAAACGATTAAGACATAGAGAAAGACGAGGTTTGGCGACGGTTCGTCAAGATTTATTCAACAAAAGGATGCATTCTTGGAAAACTTGTAGAACAATTCCATTGCAACTAAAACTGTACATACAATTTCTTTCTCAAAAACGGTGCTTTAATTTCAAAAATTCTAACAGCCAATAATTTCTTCATTATAATTTATTCTATTTCCTCATTTTTTGTAATAAATACGAACGGTTGGATATGTTCCTACAATGATTAAAAAATTAAGTACGTACGTTCGTTATACTTTTCGGTATATATTTCTTTCTTTTCTCTCTTCGATAAGATATATATATATATATGTATATGTGTGTGTGTGTGTGTTTACATATATATATATATGTCTCAAACAATTTATAACCTAGTACGTTAAACACAAGCGATTAAAAAAAGAGATGCGAGCAAACGCGACCGGTGTTCTTCGCCATTTTTCGATTATTCGCGAGAAAGTCGAGACGAAGAAAGAGACAAAAATTAAAACGAATGATCGTGAGCGAATCGATCTCATTGTTTTCAGTCTTTTGCGATAGAGAATGAAATCCGATCTTTTTTTTTCGCGGGCACTGATACATAAAATTTTCACGCACGCCTATTTACAGAAGAGTTAAGAATGATTTCTTACGGCAATCGCAATCTTAAGACTTGTGGAATTGACAACTAGGCGAAGTTTTTTTTCTTTCTCATCGCACTTGCAAGAGGAAATTAATTTATAATCGAGTTGATGAAGCGCGAAATGCAATTTGCATATCTTTATCTTTATTCCTTCATTTTCTCGAATGATATCGGTCATCCAAAAACGATGACGCACTGAAAAGCACACATTGCTTGACGAGACGGACAGATTGCAAGGTCGATTATACAATAGAGTCCTTGACTGTCCGTAATTTTTTTTTTTTT